AATCATTGAGTTCTAACAAAATACTTAATTATATCATTATAAAAATTATATTATTGAATCTAAAATTAAAAAATGAATTAAAGAAATACACAAGAAAGGAGAAATTTTAAATAGTTAGTCTGGTACTAATATCAATATTTTTTTTTATTTTTATTATGTCTTCACATTTATATTTTATTCAAAAATAAAAACATTATCGCTTTCTCAAAACCACATAAAACCGTATTATAACATCGACTAAGACAAAAAAAACATAAACACTAAAATCGAGATGTATTTCACTACATTATGCGAGTACTCTTCTAGTATAGAAAAATATACAAAATAATGAATATTTGAGTTAATTACATGTTTCATCCATATGGTTGGTGTTTTTAACGGTCTTTGTCCCTTTTCTAAAATTTAACGGGATTGTCCTTATGGTTTGCGTTTTTTTATTGAGTTACATCTCTATGGTTGCATTTTTTTTAATGAGTTGGGTCCCTATAGGTGCAGTTTTTTAATATGTTAGGTCCCTAATAAGTCAACAATCTGGGTCCTTGTGGTTGCATTAAGGATTCAACTTCGTGTCAAAATGCAACCACAAGGACATGATCTGTTAAATTTGCAAGAAAAGGACAATGACCATTAAAAATATATAACCACAAGAACGAAACATGTAATTTACTCTAAATATTTCTTACATTTTGACTTGGGTGTTGGATGTGTGTTTTTAATGTGATTATTTGAATAAGATATATACTAAGCATAGTGCAATACATAGTATTCGATATCAAATAATGTGATTGACCATTTGAAATTGTAAGAGAATTAAACAATTAATTGCTCTAGTGTTCGATAATTTTTGATCATTCAATAAAATACTGACAAAATAATAAAGTTACGTTACAAAGAAAAAAATTGGTTAATCAATTTGTGAAATGACAGTACAGTCTCTTAAAGTAGATGAATTTAAGAGGCTAAACAGGTCATTTCACTTTACCCTTAGATGACTAGTTTTATTGTATATGATATCAATTTGATTATACAGTTAACCACAAGGGTGGTGCCTGATTGGTTTGAGCTTGGCTCTAAAGGTCAAAAGTAACAAGAGGTCCTAGGTTCAAATCCAGTGAGTAATAAAAATGTTTTTATGGCTTCAAATGTGGTGACTCCGGCTATCTGCAAAGCAGGTGGTCGCTCTGGAATTAATCGACTTGCATAGCGGGTTGAATATTCAAGTTAATAAAAAAAATGATTATACAGTCAGAAACATTATTCGTATATCTAAATACTACAAGCTATTTGTAACTTCAGTTGACAATAATGAAATAATCAGTGATCAAACACACATCCAAACTTTACCTTTTGTTAGGTATTATTGCTATTCTTTCTATTTATTTTTCAAAATTCCATTAATGGAATAAAAACTTAAATATGAAATACACCATAAATGGCTACCCAAGTTGAAAAGTTCGGACTGTGAAGTACCGGTTAGTTTTTAGGGGGCTATAATGAAAAATTCTCGTATACTCCAGATTCGAATCTAAGTACTGTCAAAGTCCTTGTGACCATGGAGGTTTACCTGCAATGACTCAAGATCATTTGTGGTCGCCCGAATTTAGTATTTTACTATTCATAACATTAAAATAGTGCAAAGTTTTATAAATATTTTGGGTAAACTTAGTGCGTACCGAGTTAACAGTTTTTGCAATAAGTCGACCTTGACGTCAATGGTGTAATTTCTTGGGTTCTAAATTTAGGCTAATGAAAGAAAGAGATATCTACTACTTATTGCTTTCAAGGCGAGTGATCTCTATCCTTAAAGCAATTTCGCCCCCACCGTATGTGCTTTGGGATTTTGACGAATCGCTTCTCAAGATACAATGAAGCAACGTATGTAGAATGATTACCAACACCGCACTAGTGGTGATAACCCCGGTTGAACTATTGAGTTTCAAGGATTTAAAGAAACTAAGTAATTGTGTTTCTATAGCAACACAACCCTTAGCGATCTGGTATATGAAAAGAGGAAAGTGTGTAAAAAATTTTTGGTGTCTATGAATAGGTATATATAGGCATAAGCGACAGCCCTTTGAACAGACACCATTCGCGACGGTTCGAATAGTCACAACTGTTTGAACGGGTGCCAACCGTGACGGTTTAACCCTTATGCGACGTTTCGAACAGTCGCAACCATTCCAACAGGTGCCATATTTGACACTTGAACCGTTGCATCCGTTCATCATACCCTTTGATGCGAACCGTCGCCTTTATTCACGAAGAGGTACCATTAGCGAACCGTTGTGTCTATTCACGAAGAGGCACTGTTTCAAGGCCAACCGTCACTAACGAATCGGTTTGAAGCAAAAGGATTTAGGCGGTGATGCGTGTGTGCGAAGTGCGCCATCAAAGCGCCACATTGCGCCCACGCCCACGGTCGCACTGTGGAAGCCCCATCATTTTCCAATATATTAAATTAATATATAGAAAATGCTTCCCCTTATAAACCCACTTAGATTTCATTCTTGCTCCTATGTGGGACAAGGTGAAACCCACCAAAATCATCTTTTCTCTTTTCCTAAAACCTAACCCAAAAGATTTTATTTTTATTTTGAAAATATTCCCAACAAATGGTTCTAAATCAATGTTTTAAAACCATCACGTAGTAAATTTCTTATGATCGATACACGCATGCGTGTTGTTTTCACACATCTACAACCCATTGTTTACGTACAATGGTTTGGAAAATCTTGCGAGTATGTAGTGTTGGCCTGACTCTTTTCGTTGTCGACAAGATTCTCGCGTGTCATGTTTAACTATCACAAACCCGACAAGACTTACTCTACACCTGCATGCTCAGTGATATGCAACAAATTGCTTTTATGTGCAAGTAAGTTCATATTTCCACTAAACAAACTTTGGTGTAACTGATTCCGAGTTACTACTTCATTTGCAAGATGATTTCTCCAAATTTCTTAATGTCATATATATTAATTGGGTTGTTCTCTTTTCATAATCCATATTTGATCCATTATATATATATATATATATATATATATATATATATATATATATATACTAGGTTCGATCCCGTGTATTACACAGGGTAATTTGAAAAAATTAAATCATGTCAGGAACTTATCTTACAGATATGAATGATTATCGAAAGTACGATCCTACATCAGACTTGTACCTTTAAAATAACTCTGAAATATAACTCTGAAGAATGACTCTGCAGACTTGAATTTAGAAATGAACCTATATCAATAATTAGTTAAAATGAAGTTAGCCCTAGAATAAAATTAAATGTATTATTTTGAACAAATAGACATATTTTCGGCAAAAAAACCTTTAATAGCCGGCATGTTAACCAACAAAACTCGTCTTACAAAAATCCTTGACAACATCAGCAAGTGATAGCTGAAAGTTGTCTCTTCAATGATAGCTGAAAGTTGTCACGATAAACTGAAAACACAAGCTGAAGGCTGTCAGCAATAACCTGTTAGATTAGATAAAGACTGTCAGTGATAAGTTGTCAGCAATAAGCTGAAAGCTGAAGGCTGTCAGCAATAACTTGTCAGATTAGCTGAAGTCTGTCAGCAATAACTTGTCAAATTAGCTGAAGACTGTGAGCAATAACCTGTCAGATTAGCTGAAAGCTGAAGGTTGTCAGCAATAACCTGTCATATTAGTTGAAGGCTGTCAGCAATAACCTATTAGATTAGCTGAAGGTCATCAGTGATAAGCTGTCAGCGATAAGCTAAAAACACAAGCTGAAGGCTGTTAGCAATAAGCTGTCAGATTAGCTGAAGGAAATTAGTCTGAACTAAATCCCGTTTAGTAAGGAAATCAGTTAAACCACAATAAAAAAAAAGATACATTTTTAAAGGGACATGTCAACCAAATAGGACTCTTTGAACTACTAATGTAAATTGTGTCTAGATACATGTTTAGGCGAGAAAATAAGATAACCGACTTACCAGAAGATGACACGTGTCACCCAAGTTACTTATTTATTATATATATATATATATATATATATATATATATATAATAATAACATATTGGCTTAAAACCAACTAATCAAATGAAGAAAGCGTAAAAAGATGAAAAGATTATTGATGGCATGAATTCAGGAAGTTCGGTTTTTGTCAAACCAAAAAATTTGCAGATCAAACTATCTAAAAGATTGATAACGTAAAAATATTTGAAATTCGAGTTATAGAAATCAAATTTATCGTCATACCTTACGGAAAAAAAAACACTTGCAACTATTGCATCAAAAAGTATATATTTTTAAACATGTTTTGCTTTAATCCAAAAATAGGCGATATGATTTGACAAATATCGACATGGATATGCATTAATTAAGACGTTTATCTTCGTAGGCGCAGACAATCCGGGGAGCCCCAAACCCCCTCGACTTTACACCCAACGCAATATTATTCATATAACCTTTTTACTCCATCAAACTCTCACTCTCTCAACGTTTTTTTTAACATTTTACACAAATCATAGTCGAGTTAGTAATTTTGTATTTTGGGTTTTTAGCGAATAATAAAAATCTAAAATATCTAATTATTTAAACCCTAATTAACTAATTTATGGGTTGTTTATCAAACACTTACCTGAATAAACGCTTACAAAGTCACGTTACCTTATCATTTACAACCCCAATACGAGGATAAAAATGTAAAAGAGAGATTATTTAAAAAAAAATTAAAAAAAAAACATTAGGGGACACTCACCCTCCTTTCATGTCTACCTCTCCTTTACAAGATGAGATAAGATTGTTTGAGCAATGTGCGTCTGACACGTGGCACTCCATTCTGGTGGTTAATGATAAGGCAGTACATCCTGTAATTATGTGGACACCATGCATGAGCCACAAGATCCAACGGCCACAATCACTAGATGCTTAGATCGATTTGTTTCTGTCCGTTGGATGGCAATTCGTCAAAGACACTGCTCATATACAACCATTATATATAGACCTATGAACAATAAACTCACTCATTGGATTTGCAAAGGCTACCCTTTAAAGCAAAATTACCAAAATGGCCTCCATCTCCTCCTCCGCGGTCGCAACCGTCAACCGGAACGCCTCCGCTCAAGCCAGCTTGGTGGCTCCATTTACCGGCCTCAAGTCCAACGTCGCCTTCCCCGTTACCAAGAAGGCCAACGACTTTTCCTCCCTTCCCAGCAACGGTGGAAGAGTTCAATGCATGAAGGTATATATGCAACTTTCTATTCAAAATCGTTTTGTTTAAAAATAAAACAGAACGGTTTTACATATAATTGTTTTGCTGTAGAACAAATATAAATATAATTAACGGTTTTGAAACGGTTCGGTTTCGTGTTTTAGGTGTGGCCACCCCTTGGATTGAAGAAGTACGAGACCCTTTCGTACCTACCGCCACTAAGTGAAGCATCGTTGGCCAAGGAAGTCGACTACCTACTCCGCAACAAATGGGTTCCTTGTTTGGAATTCGAGTTGGAGGTCTATTTCTCATCTTTTATATAATTTCATGACCTTAAAGATTGATATTAAATAACACCAAATGTGGTACCTGATTGGTTTGAGCTTGGCTCCAAATGTCAAAAGTATCAGGAGGTCAAGGTTCAAATCTAAGGAGGAATAAAAATCTCATTGTGGCCATGGAGGTTCAAATGTGGTTACTCCGGGCTATCTGCAAAGCAGGTAGTCGTCCTGGGATTAGTCGGCTCGCATAGCGGGTTGGATATCCGGGTTAATAAAAAATTGATATTAAACGTTAATTTAAAAATAATTTCAGATTTTTGTGGCAATTTTAAGATTATTTATTTATTCATAAAACAAATTAAATAAATAACAGAAGATTCATACTCGTTACAAACCTTAATTTAAAAACAATTTCATCATGAAAATGATTTATGTCGCGGTTTTGAGAGTATTTATTCATTTATAATACAAAATTCATAAAAAGACTGTTAATTATTTGATTATTTAATGTGAGTGTTGTTTTTGTATTTATAGCACGGTTTTGTCTACCGTGAGCACCACTCATCGCCCGGATACTATGACGGAAGATACTGGACAATGTGGAAGTTGCCCATGTTCGGGTGCACTGACTCAGCCCAGGTGTTGAAGGAGCTCGAAGAGGTCAAGAAGGAGTACCCCAACGCCTTCGTCCGTATTATCGGATTCGACAACGTCCGTCAAGTCCAGTGTGTGAGTTTCATTGCTGCCAAACCACCAGGCTACTAAGCAATCTATCAACTTTGATTTAATCCCGGGTCGGGTCGGGTTTGCTTGAATCTTTAGGGTTCTTCATCAATTTCTTTTTCTTTATATTCGGATTTCGTCAATTTCCAGTTCATTTCGTTGTTCATTCCTGAATTTCTATGAGGTGGATAAAAAGATCATATATAAAATAATAATTTGTCATGTTTCTGTCTCGTTATCTCTTATTCTGTTTAATATTCGTTATATTTTCATATTGTCAGGAAACAATTTATTCAGTAATCTTACAGAAGCAACTGAATTTATCTGATTTAAATTAAAAAATTGCCAAATTAAAATTAAATGTATTTCTTTTTGAAGTAACCCATTTTGTTGAAATGGGACCTTTGATGCGTAAACTTATGGACACCATTTCAAAAGGATATGATTATGGATAAGCCAAGATTTGGTTTTCTTTGAACCAATTACCATTTTTTTAATCTATAAAAAATTATTTAAAAACATTAACTTTTTGCTAATTAATTTATTTTAATTTAGAAAATAGTCTACATGGATAAATATATAATTAGACTCTATGTGAAACTGTTAAGAGTCATTGTCATTACTTATCGGGTAAGATTTCATGTTCTTGTCTTTGTTTTTACTGGGTAATAATATTCTTGGTTATTGTCATGTTTATTCAGTAAGGTAACGTGGCCTGATAACAGTGTTCGAAAAAGGTTGCCGCAACAGCCGTTGTGGCATGTCGTAGCTTAAGGCTTGTGTCTCATGCCATCACCTAATGCATGGTTTTGTAACGCAATATTTGATTATTCTTTCTTTCTCCGGTGTCTTAGTTTTTAGTTTCCAATATATCTTAATTTTAATGTTTCATTTTATTCATTTTCTCTGTCGATATAATACGGTTTGATGTGGTTTTTTATTTACGATAATATTTCTATTTTTGAAAAAATTTGTATCGATATTAGTATTAATTTAACCATTAAAAGTTATCGTTTCTATGTAATTTCTTTAATTCAATTTGTTTTTTTAACTTAATTTAGATTTAATAACAAAGTAATTTTTTTTAATTATATATTTTTTATAAGGATGATAATTAAGTATTTTATTAAAACTCAATGATTATCCTAATTATACTTTAATTTTTTATATTTAAAATAAAATGTTTATCCTGTATCTGATTATATTTATTTGCAGTTAGTTACACGAATTTAAAAATAGAGCTTGAATAAGCTGCATTTACGCACAGTTTACTTGTAATATTAAATTTTAAGTAATATGCATTAATAAACAATACTTCATGTATAAAAAATAGTTTTTAAGAGTTTTTATCAAATGCTTTATAATATAGTATAGATTTATATATATATATATACATATATATATATATATTATTTATTAAATTTATTAAAACCAAAAATACCAAAATATCTTGTTGGTTTGCCCCAAGTATCACTCATAGAGGTCCCTTTGAAGCATTTATACCACTTTGAAGGCCGGGGCGGACCCACTGCCAGCGTTGCATTTCTTTCATCGTAATGTAAAAAATTATATAATCGTGAAAAATGTCATTTTATATTTTGTTTCATGTAACCGTATATATTTTGAAATTATAAACGTGACATAAGTTTCTTTGGTAGAGTTGGTTTGCATGACTTTTCTCCATCCTAGACCTAAGTTCGAATCCTGTATGTGTCATTTTTCTTAGATTTTAGCTTTTAGTTTCATATTCATTACGTTTCTGTAATAATTTGCAATTAAGAACTCGAACAGACATCACATATGAAAACACCAACTGAATAAACTAATGATGATTCTGTAAAAATATCTTATATTTGTTTCTTATAGTCAAATGGTGTCATCACTTAAAAAAATCTAGGTCCACCAGGACAATAAAATTTGTAAATGCATAATTAAAAAGTAATAGGAATAACGCAATCATTATGTAATAAAAAATATATTTATTTGTTGATACAAAAATGATATTTCTCAATTGATTTTAACATCTTCCCCGAATTCTCTCTCTAGAGAGAGAGAGAGATGGGGGAAAATGAAAAAAAGAGGAGCACGTATTCATTTATTTGAATATGCATGTATGCATATTAAATAGATGAATGAATATTAATATATTCTATGGTTTTTTGTTGATTTTTTCCTGAACCTAGTTCTATATATAAATGACGTAATTAAATGAGGACTTCATATATTATGATAGTCGTGAGACTTTAATCTTAAGATATTGTTTTACATGATTTTTTGCATCTAAGATTAGTATTTAATGTATTCATTAACATAAATTGTTTCAGGAACATGTCAAAAAGTTTCATATTGTAAGAGAAATACATATTAATCAATGCGAAGGATCGTGTGAGAAAGCAAGTTATGGTAAGAAAGGTAAAAATATATATATATATATATATATATAAGCAGGTTCAAACGAGAACGCTAAATATTTAAGAAAACAATAAAAATGTCGTTAATGTACAAAATCATATAGAATTCATGTACAAAATCATACATGATTCTCTCTCTCTCTCTCACACACACACACATATATACACACGTACAAAATCATACATGTTCAAAAGTTGCCTCGCTTTTTTCATAAAATGAAAATGTTCAATAGATACGTGTATGAATATATATATATATATATATATGTGTGTGTGTGTGTGTGTGTGTGTGTGTGCAAGTTCAAATGAGAACACTAACTAATTAAGAAAAAAAAAATCGTTAGTGTATAAAATCATATATGATCTATGTACAAAATTATATATGATCCATGTACAAAAGCGTACATGATTCTCACACACACACACACATGTGTGTGTGTGTATCGGGGAGGAATATTTTACAAACCAAGTGATTTGTATAAACCGTGAGAACCGTGGATTTCATTGTTTATTTTGGTGAAAAAATTTCATGAAATTGTTTAATATGATGAAATTGTTTCAAATAATTATGGACATTATCATCTTCATTATATTAATTTTAGTAAACAAATTTCATAGAAATGATAAATACATGAAACAACTTAATTTTTGGATAGAAACAAAATATATGAAACATTTTCATCATGAAATAAATTATTTGAAACAATTCCTTCATATTAAACAATTTCATGATTTTTTTTTACTAAAATAAACAATAAAATTGACCGTTTTTATGATTTATACAAATAGTTTGGTTTGCATTTTATCTCATATATATATATAATTGATTCACATATATATATATATATATATATATATATTCACGTACAAAATCATATAGGTTCAAAAGTCGTCCGCTTTCATTTTTTTGATATTAATATAATATCACATGTGATTTTATACATTAACGACATTTCTCTTATTTTTTTTAAATAAGTTAAGGTTTTTGTTTGAACCTTCCCAACATGTATATGCCTCAGTGGGTTGGTAGATGACATAATTTCCACATGAACAAAAAGTAAGCATAAATACAGTAACAAGTCATGGTGAATTTATAAAAAATCATGTGATATAAAAGAATACAAAGGATAACAAGCAATACTTCAAGGAATTAAAGAAAATTATGATTCGCTAACGAGATACACATCGATCGTTTCATTTTCGACAACTATATTACTTTACGTTGTTATTGCTATAACGACATATACAAACAGGCGTTTTTGGTACTTATCGACACCTTTCACATCGATGTTTTTGAAAACAACATATGGTTAACTCCGGCTCTATACAGATGCAACTCCGATTCTGTACTCACATGAACCTCTGTGTTTGCAGGAACGAATAACACATCCCCTCCATGAACTGTATCCTCGTATGGTGATAATGATGGTGATGACAATGACAATGATGAAAATGGTGATGACAACGAAGATGATGGTGATGATAATGATGATGATGTTGTTGATGATGATGGTGATGAGAATAAGGACGACGATGGTGATGATGGTGATGGCGATGAGACTGATGTGTACATTGATCCTTGTCCTGAAAGGACCAAGAAAATCGAGGGACCAGGTACTGCAGGGAAAACAACGGACGCCCCTTGGTCGAGCATGCAACGGTCAACCTCGAATTCCTCGAAAGGAGGGTTGTATCTCTTGGTATACGCATTCACGGGGACGCCTTTCAAGATTTCCGGTGGGCCCTAAGACATGAAAACACTATCAGGGAACTAAACCAAACCTACCCAAATAAAACCAATATATCCCCGTCAAGGAAGTGGGATGTATGCAGACCGATCTTCAAAGGGTAGTGGCTATTTCCATACACTTCACGCACTTACATAACGCTAGGTTGCCGTTGCTCAAGCATGTTTCGAGTCGAAAATTTGCAGATCGGTACCAAAAGACATGAGTTTTGAGATTCGAGTAAAAAAACGAGCAAAGTCAAACGACAAGAAAGAATATGTTAGATAGGGTTTGAAATGCACCTGCTTGTATGTAAGCATTGAGCAAAGGATTTTCACATCCCGGTTCTTTGGAGTAAGGCCAGCACGCACAACGTTATCTGAAGTTGCCATGCACTCGACACACTCACCACCCACGTATGCATGAATTTCGTTTGATGCTACGTACAAAGCTTCACCTGGATTCAACCTCACGTGATTAAAGAGGAAGGATGCTATGACCCCGATATCATCTGGGTACTGTTTTTCAAGCTTCAGTGCTAGTTCTTCCTTGCTCGTTAACTGCCTTGTCTGATTAGATGAAAAGAACGAGTTATCATCAGCTTCACAATGATCATATGTGCATTACTAACAACAACCGTAATGTAATAAAACTCATTATGCTAGGTTAGAACAAACGTAGCAGTTTATGCACTAACGCTAAATCCTAAACCCTAAAGAAAGCACTGTATTTTTTTGCCTAAATGTTTTACCGCGTATTACATATAAAATCAAACTAAGATGCATGCAAACCTTTTTTTACTGAGGCTGATGCAGTAAGTACAATTTTCGACCTTTCCTTTCTTTAGGAAGATAATGATTATAATACCACACGATACTTTGCTTTTGTTGCTTCACAGAAACAGTTATACTATCCTTTAGGATAGAGGCAAGGTTTGCGTACATTCTACCACCAAACCTTACCTCTGTGTGGGATATACCGAGTTTGTTTGGTTTTTGGTTTAGTTTTCTTTTGTTGTTTCTCAAAATATGTGTGGGATATCAATTTGAGTTTCCAAGATAGTAACGAGCAATGTCCCCAAGCACAGATGTTGGATACCCGATGACAACCATATTGCCTGACCAAAGAACAATTAATGACATCCAAAACTACTTTAGAAATCCACCATCCTCATCATGGGTAAAAACCATCATTATTGATCACACCAAATATGAAAACAACATTATTTATCCACCAAATATCTTCGAGGAGCAGTGCGGAATCTTCTTGACTGATGTACAAAAACCTAGTGGCACCTTTGGGTAAATTGAGTTGAATTTTCAAACTGATAGAAGCATAACTGATGCTTACTCTAATGACGACTACCAGCCCAAGAGAGTGAGAAGGGTGGTGGCATAAATTGAGTTAGATTTTCGAACTGATAGCATAATGAATGAACCTATTGGCTGCCAGAGAGATGGTGATGATGGTGGACCAACTAAGAGACGTAAACTAAGGACCCTAAACCTAGAAACAAAAACTTGAACCAAGAACCGGGGAGCCTAAAAAAACAAAAAAAACCCATATCCAAACTTAAACTAAGAAGCTTGGCAGAAATTTGATCAGTGAATAAGCAAACTAATAGGAACTTGACTGAAAATATATTGATATTGAACCGTAAATAGAACAAACTAATATAAGCGAACTTAGCGAACAAGTGAGCAGTCTATATTGAAGATAGGTCAACTCCTCTTGATATCCGTCTACTTGTGAGAGAGACCAAATCTCCTGATGATGATCATTCATCCATTTCTCTTTGTTAATAATAATAAGCATGACAATCCAATACCCTACCACTTTATTTATGGAACTAAGAATTGCAAATACCAAAAATAGCCTTCACTAACTAACTAAATACCAAACCTACCCTCCACTATCTAACGTTGGCCTAACAAAAACCCACATATCGAATCTGGACCCAGAAACTTAAACACAGAATAAATAACTACTTCCTTAAGTTGCCAAAACCAACTGCACGACCTTACAAATCATGAAGAAAGGTGGACCTGTTGTTGGTGAGTAGCGATTGGTGTATTATGGTGCAGGAATGACTTGCAAAAAATGGCTGGTCAATGAAACCAGGTGTTGTCGAAAAACAACATCGAGGCTAATGTCAAATGAACAATGAGACGTTTTTGGTGGCGGACTGAGTTCCCTCCAGACTGCCATTTTTAAGCCAGCAACCAGATAGGTTTGGAATTTGGATCACACACACCAAGAGGAAGAGATAGATAGATAGATATATATATATATATATAGAGAGAGAGAGAGAGATTAAAAGCCACATCGTTATGGTATCTGAAATAAATAACACCTTCCTACCTAAGATCAACTCCATTGGTATATTCTACTTACCCGTTGCTCTTCACTACTTTCCCCACATCAATCTCGCAAACTCTACCTCTCCTAACGACATCCTCTTAGGACAAGCCTTCTCTTTCAACAGATGCATCCAAAGATCTAGGATGGACATGACCAAGTGAACTCCAACTTAGCAGTAATATTTTATCTAGTTTGATAATGAACACAGTGTCATCAACAAAAAGGCATAAATCAATCAAATTGACATTACCATGTCGTATGATCGTGTATGTCATTCATGAGCTCATACATAATTAAAGCAAGATGATGAAGATTGCATATGGACTCAGCATAATAACAAGGAGCATTTGTGTCACTATTATATTTTAATGTTTGTTACTACACCACCACACATATTTGTAACCACATTCATAAACATGCAAGAACTTTCTTCTTATCAAAAGTTCAAATTACTACCCTTTGCATTATGACATATAAATAAACCCAAACCGTACAAACTGATATATCCCACCATCAGATAGGGTCTCAGGAGTAGGATGTACACAGACATTACCTTCGTCTCAAGAGACAGAGAGGCTGTTTCCAAGATAACCCCAGCTTGCTGAAAGTGTTAAGTAAAAAACTTGAGAGCACAACTATAAGCCACATATTTGCAAATAAGGGTTTCTTTATGACAACTATGATATGCATTCTCGAAATCAATAAACGCTATATGCAAATCCGTCTATGCTCACCATGAGTCATCTTATCAAGACAATAGCCTAGATCTCTAGCATATACCCAAACTGGTTTCTTGACATCTTGGTCTCGACCCTTAATTTGTGCTCAATAACTAGCTCTGTGTGGCTGATAAGCTTGACCCCTTGATAATTAATAATTTTGAATATGTAATTCATTCTTGTACATTGTGATACAAATTGAGAAAGAATAATGTGCTGTATCTTGTTTTTCAAAGTCAAGACTAACACTAACTTAAGCGCTGGATTTATGGGATCCCTTACCAAACTAAATTCCACGATTTATAGGATCTAAACAAATCAAATTGAATTTGACAATTTAGGGGATCCAAACAGATTAAGAAACTATCCTCCTAACTTTTTAGTAACAATTTACATACTAAATACATATTTTTTACCTGTTTTTCTCCAACAAACTGAAAAACTATCCCCTAACTTCTTCAATTCCTTTCTTAGTCTCTCTTTTGACTAATTTGTACTTCTCTATGTTTCAAAATTCATACAATCAAATTTACACGATTATAGAAGTCCTTGTTATTTTTAGCGATGTACCTCATTGTTCTACCATCAACTGTCTTTTAGTTTGATGTCTAGTTCTTCATGCACCTCCATTGCTACCTATGAGAGCAGGTTGACTTCGTTTACCAAATCCCAATATCCCCTTAATGTTTGAATGTCATTTTTTAACCATTCAATTGGTAAACTAATTAAATCACCTTGTTTTAGGTTCCAAAACCTAGTTCCAAGATGTTTAACAATGAAACTGTTCAACATCATGTACAAATTATGAAGTACAATCCATCCACAACACCCGATCCCCTTTCCTAGGTTAGAATCAACCTTTAGTGTGGGTTACATCTACTATTTTAATGTAATTTTACTACATCTAACTATTTTAATGTCATTTTACTTGCATTTTAGGCACAACTGGTAAAGCATGGTAAAGACAAGCATTAGAAAAGAATGAAAGAAACGCATCCCTAACACGTGTAGACATACACCAAGAGGAAACAAGTCCAGGCCCATGCCAACCTCTACGCTGATCTAAAGCTCACTAGCATAGACCATATTGATTTTCCATAGATCCAAAAGTGTTGGTAAAACCTTGCCAGGTTGCCCGTTGCCTACCCACCCCAAGCATAAGAATATACCCTTATACACAAGAAAGCTTATCTTAAACCATTCACTAGGCTTCCCTTGTATCCTCTCATATAGGCACTAAAAATCCTCGAACTAATTCTAATATGTGCCTAAATATTTTTCTCACATCAGGTCCTACTTCTACAGGCTCGGGAGTGCTACTTCAACAAAGATGCCCATGATTTATGCCTATAAATTGAGGACCTTGAATGCTCATTCAAGTTCTAAGCTCAATCCTCAATTATGCATCCTTCCTCCACCTTCCATTATCCATCGAAGAAGAAAACAAGTCTGACACATTAAAGTTGAGATTTCAAATGAAGAACAAAAAACTTTATTAGAGGTGGTTTTCCAGTGCTGGCTGTTTAGTTTTGACCTTATAATCGCAATTCTGGTAATATCTATAATTCAAGAACTCAAGTCCTTGTTATGCTTTTACATTGAACCCTTCTGGAAATTGCCTTTTTATTCTAGTCATTCAATTTCCAATAAGATGTAAGAATATTAGTCTTTTCACTTTTAGTGGTTTACTCTATGGTCTCTAGTTTTCATGTTTGGCATTCTTACCACAACTGATTAAAGATATTGGAAGGGGTGCATTGAGGTAACAATCATTCAAGTCCTAGAACTCTTTGGTTAATGGTTGTGGCATAAGTTTTCAGCAACTCATCATCCTTGTAGTTGTTTAGTGAACTAATCTGGTTCGGTTGTCTCCTTTTTTAAAGAGTAGTCCTTTGCCTGGACAACTCTTTAATATCTAAGAATTCTGTGGACAGCTTCTTCATGTTCTTCATAAGAACAATGCATAAATTGGCTCACCATGCTAACTGCAAAAGCAATGTCAGGTCGTGTATGTGATAAGTAAATCAACCTTCCAACCAACCATTGGTATTGATGAATATCAACCTGCTTCCCATTTGTAATGCCATCCAACCTTTTTGTTGGGGTCAATTGGAGTATCTATCGGTCGGCATGCCCTCATTCCAGTATCTTGTAAAAGATCCAGAACATATCTCCTTTGTGACAATACAATGCCCTTACTTGACCTTGCAACTTCCATACCTAGAAAGTATTTCATTTCTCCAAGGTCCTTTACTTCAAACTCTTTAGCAAGTCGATCATTCATTCTTTCCATCTCCTCATGATCATTACCTGTGACGAGTATGCCATTTACATAAATTACTAAGGTTGTAATTTTACCTTTTGGGGAAAATCGAGTGAATAGAGTATGATCAAATGAGCCTGTTTGTATCCCTGACTTTTGACTACTTGAGTGAAACGTGCAAACCATGCCCTTGGGGATTGCTTGAGCCCATACAAAGCTTTCTAATTTGCGCACGTTTGTGCCAAAGTTACTTTCAAACCCAGGTGGTGGCAACATATAAACCTCTTCTCCTAGTTTGCCATTCAAGAAGGCATTTTCACATCAAATTGCCTAATTGGCCCAATCAACATTTGCTGCTATTGAAAGTAGAATCCTTATGGTATTTAACTTTGCAATTGGAGCAAATGTTTCTGTATAATCAATGCCATAGGTTTGTGTGAAGCCTTTGGCTACTAGCCTTGCTTTATATCTTTCAAGGGCTCCATCAGCATTAAATTTTGGAGTAAATACCCACTTACAACCAATTGTGGGAGTATCTTTCGGAAGATCTTCAACACTACACGTTTGATTCTTCCCAAGAGCACTCAATTCCTCTAGAACAGCCTTTTTCCACTCTGGACTTTTAAGGGCTTCCTGTATCGTGTTAGGAATTTGAACTTTGGACACATTTGAAGTGAAAGCAGATATTTTGGTGAGAGTTTTGAGCAAGACATGTAATTGGACATAGGAGACACATGTACGTTTTTCTTTTCTCAAGGCTATTGGAACATTCAGGTCACATGACTTACCAACTGATGGTTCCTTCCTCGGTTAATAATCAGGAGCTGAGATTGTGTTGAACTCTTTGTTTGGAGGGAATCTTCGCTCATACACTTTTCCGAACTGTTTTTTTTTTTCCTTTTCACTACAATCCTCTTCAGTAACTTGTTGAGGTTCAAATTTCTCAATCTAGTGGTGGTTCTATTGGAACATCTACATTTTCCTCGTGTTCAAAGATTGGACAATCTTTGGGATTTGAGTCAAATGCAGATGGCTCAAATGTAGTTGGAAATACTAGATCCGAAAAATTTAAGTCTTCTTTTTCATTCTCCCCCTGAAGACGAGATTTAAAGAAAGGAATATTTTCAAAAAACTTAAACATCCATGTTAACAAACGTTTTCCCCGTGTTTGGATGAAAACATTTAAATCCCTTTTTATGTGGTGCGATTCCTACAAAAACACATTTGAGGGTTTTGTGGTCTAATTTGCCAAGGTTGATATTGGTGTTCTTAATAAACACAGTACAACCAAAAACTTTTAAAGGCATGGAACAAAATAATCATGACTTTGGAAAAGAACTTTCTAAAGTAGATATGGGTGTTTGAAACTTTAAAGCTTTAGACGGCATTCGGTTCATTAGATATGTAGCATGCAGAAGAGCATCTCCGCATAAATATTTTGGTATTTCAGTTGAAAATAGTAAAGCCCGGGTGATTTCAAGCGGATGCCTGTTTTTTCTTTCGGCTATGTCGTTTTGTGGTGGAGTATCTACGCATGAGCTTAACCACATCGCAAACACTATGGCCATAAATTCTTTCTCATAAATTGGCTTTTATCTTGCTCATGTACCCAAGACTTGACTGTGGAACACAACAGGTCTGTTTTCTTGCATCAAAATAGCCCCCAAACCCCCTCCCGATGCATTTGCTTCAATAACGAACGGCTTATTGAAATGCGGTAACACCAAAACATGGGCCGTAGTTAAGGCCATCTTCAACGCTTCAAACGCAGCTACTGCCTCGTCATTCCATCCAAACTTCAGCTTTTTTTGTAAGTCGGTCAAAGGTCGTGCAATCTGTCCTTATCCAAAAATAAACTTTCGGAAGTACCCGATTAGTCCCAAAAACCCTCGCAATTGCATGATTGTTCGTGGTTGAGGCCAGCTTAACATTGCATCCACTTTGACATGATCTATTGCCACCTCATTGCATGAGATTACTTGTCCCAAATACCCGATTTCCTCTCCAAAATCGCATTTCTTTTGATTCGCATAGAGCTGTTGATTTCACAGCCTTTGGAATAGCTCCCTTAAGTGGTCACCATGCTCTTCCACCGATTTGCTATACACCAAGATATCGTCAAAAAAACTTAAGACAAACTTTCTCGAAAACGGCCTGAAAACTTCGTTCATTAAAGACAGAAATGTTGCTGGGAAATTTGTAAGTCCAAAGGGCATTACTAGGAACCAGTAATGCCCCTCATGAGTTCGAAATGTTGTTTTATAGACATCCTCCGTACACATTCTGATTTGATGATAACCTGCCTTCAAATCCAATTTTGAGAAATATTTGGCCCCATGCAATTCATCTAATAGTTTATCAATAATTGGAATCGGAAACTTGTACAGTACCGTTCCTTTATTTAAAGCTCTATAGTCTATACAAAACCGCCAACTACCATCCTTTTTTACCAAAAGGATCGGGCTTGAGAATGCACTATGGTTGTGTTGGATGATTCCCGCTTCCAACATGTCCTTTACCATTTTCTCGATCTCATCCTTCTGATATTGTGAGTACCGGTAGGGACGAATATTCACCTGTTCAACCCCCTCTTTTAGTACAAGACCATGCTCCCTTCCCCTCTCTCGTGGTAACCCTTTCGGGCACTGAAAGACATCCTCGAACATCTCCAACACTTCCTACTTCTTTAGGACAACCATCTATTTTTCTAGCATTCTCTTCCATAAGTCCCGACTCTACCCAAATCCCTTGTCCTTGTCGTGTCGTCTACATCATAGCCTTCAACGAAACCAATGACCTTCCCAAGGACACATCCCCCTGTACTTGTCTTCCTTCCCACTTGAATGTCATAACTTATGTTTGCCAATTCACATAGCTCCCAACGGCACTAACCATTGGATTCCCAAGATAACATCCGAGTTCCCCAATTGAAGTGTTAAGAAATCCTCACGAATCTCGATTCCTTGCATCAACATCTTCACTCCTTTACACACCCCCTGCCCTTCTACCGTATCCCCCATTCCTATCGAGATGTTGTACCCTTCTGTTGGTTGAACTTTTAGACCCACCTTTTCCACCAACTTTGATGCGATAAAGTTGTGTGATGCTCCACTATCAATGAGTACCACCACTTTTTGCTTACCAACTATACTTTCTAACTTCATCGATTTAACCGTCGTAAATCCTGCCACCGAGTTCAAAGACACCTCCACCCCGTTTTCACTTGTCACATTGGCCAAGTCCGCCTCACTATCATCGAGTTCGGTTTCATTACCTTCCATCTCTTTGTTGCTTCTTGTAACTACCACACTCAACTCCTTGCAACGGTGATCGGGAGCATATTTCTCATCACATCTATAACAAAGTTCTCGTTGCCTTTTTTGTTGCAGTTCCTTGTCCAATAATTTTCTAAATTCCCCTACCCCCTTCGTTCTTGCTCCTACCGTCTTGTTCCATGTCCCCGATCCACTCTTCTTGTCTCCTACCACATCATAAGATTGTCGAATGGAAAGTGTACCTCTTGACGTCCCATCATGTTGAAGCGTTCTGTTTCGCTCTTCGACTAACAAAGCTACTTCCATTGCTTTGTTGAGTCCCACCAGTCCTAACAATCATACCTCTACTCTAATTTCCGGCCATAATCCGTTTACGAATTGGCTCACATAGACTTCTTCCGGAATTCCATTCAACTGGGCAGCTAGCGATACAAACTTCCTCTTATATTCCACCACGGTCCCTTCTTGTTTCGCAGCCAAGAATTGTTCACAAAGAGTTCCTTCAGCGGTGGTTCTAAATTGTATCAAAATCAAACTCTTAAGCTCCTCCCACTGCATGATTGGTCTTCTTTCATTTTCCCACCGATACCACCTTAGGGCATCTCCCTCAACTAAAATCACCACTACTTCAAGGCTTTCCTCGTTAGAGAGTCGATTTAACATACAATACCTATCGGCCCTTAGAATCCAACCATTTGGATTTGAACCATCAAAAGCGGGCATCTCCAGTTGTCTGCCCTTGCTTGCGAAGAACTGCCCCGACTCCCCAATCCTATCACCGTTCCCAAACCGTCGATCTACACCGTCTAGTCCTGCGTTTCTTTCCCCATTACAGCCTCGTCGATCCTCTCCTTCAACCCCGTCACTCCTCCTGCTGTCGATCTCCTCATCGATTCTTCTTGTAATTGCAAAAAGACATCCAATCCTTCATCATCTTTTCCATCTTCTCTACTAGAGATATGATCTTCCCATTGAAATCACCCAAATTTCCTTCAATTTCATCTATTCTCGATTGTACCGATCTCGTCATGGTTCCAGAATCGTGCCCTAATACCAATTGATACGACTACTATGAATTCAAGAAAAGGAAAAGTGAAGAAATTGATTATCAATTAAGCTGTCAACTTTCGAGAGGTGACTCTCTCCTATATAGGGTTTATACAAACAAATTGAATAATTCTCTCCTCCAGATTTGCACCAATATACTTGGTTTCCCCCCATTTGCCAACTACAACAAAAACCCCCAACTGTTTTTAGATTCTTTTAGCCACTTATTTTCATGAATTGTCTAAATTGCCCCTCATCCCCTTTCTTTTCCTAGAATACGTAAATTGTACTCTCGACATAACATGCATCCAAAAAAATCATCAAGTAGAGGTTTGCTTCCCATACTTGCCACATCATGTTTCTATAGAGTAATAAGTAGCACACAGCAAAAAGGCCGATTAGATGACCAAACTAATATCTTTGTATTGTAGGAGGTAAACTAAATATTCAACGAGAAAAAGAAATAAACAAACCTAAGCATAACATCAATAACGCAAGTGACATGTATTTAGGTACCTTATTTTCCTTATCTAGCCGATTGATCAATTTGGATACCGCTACAGAAACCACCTTACTTCCCGCGGACATGAGTTTGATGAATATTGACCGAAGAAATTGTGCTTCTTTTGCCTCCTCATTGACAGGTAAAACTTCATCTGCATATGCACCACCAACCACTTCCATTATCTCCGGAACACTTTCAAGTACAGTCTCAAGCTCCTAGCATCAATAACAAGTCTCTGTAAGTTATTTCATATCATATGAACTATGAAGTTCAAAATTTTCATCCACATCAAATGAACTTAATTAATCCCGACATCTTACAAGAAAAGCATTCCATCTAAGGATACTATCATATTCGTCATAAATGCATGAATTTAGAAGCATGCTAACTAGCTTTCCAAAATCGTATCCAAATTAATCTAGGTACTAGAAACGCACAGACAAATTTCGGACTTCGAACCAACAGCACCAAAACCCATAAGGAACTCAAAAATTCTGAAAGTTTGAAGAATTTAGAATTATATAATGAAGTTTGTCACTTACATGGATATTGAATTACTTGGAATTGTATTATTGTTACAAGAACTTCCGGCCTCCAACTTGTTACTTTCTCATGTAAGTGACAAACTTCTTTATTGTATTATCCAAAAAAGAACAAGTTTTACATTTTATCTTTGTGCAGCCAGTAAAGAGAGAGGGTGGCAATTTTGCATAGAGTGAACAATATACTTGAATTCAGCATCCAGCTCAAAGATTAAAATGTAAGTGCCATCCTCATTGATCCTTGTATAAGTTTCTAGAATGTAGTTATGCATGACTCCCATGGAACTACATTGAACTTCTATATGTGCAACTGTGCGTCGATCGAGCTTAACTTTTTCATGTCAAAATCCATACACATCAAGACAGGCTTCCATTTGTTTGCATAAGATACATGTGTACTGGAGCTAATTTGGTTTAAGGTAACGTAAGCCACCTCCTTGAATTTAACATGAAGAACAGCTGATAACTTTCATCTTCCACTTCTCATGACAATTATGTAAGAAGACTTGCAAAATAAACACTTGGAATGCAATTCTGTACTCCATTAACCTATATGAAACAAACTGTCCCAGAGATGTTCATAGGTAATGAAGAGGGAAATACTAAAAATAAAAGACCACAACCCGCCCAAAAGATGAGCTACCATAAACATGTTGCAAGAAAGTGGTAGAAAGAAAAAGAAAGAAGTCTCTTCTTTATTGAGATCAATTCTGGAAAAAGTTATTACATTGTCTACAAGCATGAAACATGTTAACAGACAATAAGGCAGAAAACCATTAAATTCGTAACTGCAACGGCGTCATGCAGCATAGCTATAGTGTAAAAAATCATTTATTCATACTAAAAAAAGGGCATCAAGGAATGGTACTGATTATGATTATTGAAATGAAAGATGAGCAGATCTCCAGTGGCCAAGGGTCTGTTTGATTGGATGGAATGAAAAGAGTGGTCGACTACTCGTTCTTTTTATTTTTTAGGGCACGAAGGAATGGACAAAACCACCCACTGTCAAGAATTAGAAAAAAGTCAAGTTTCAAAGGAATGGTTCATTCCTTTTCCAGGTCCAATCAAACATATTTTTCTTCATTCCATCAGAATGCCTCATTGCATTGGCACTTCTATTCCAGCATGCCAAGCATGGTGTAGAAGAACGTCAACCCATGAAATTTGAACAACTTGGAAATGTTACTGGAAAAAAGAACACTCAAAATATCTACGAACAAGGACGTAAAAATGATGATGCAGCAATTAAGATAGAACGCCAAAAGCAGCAACGTAATCATACATTCATACTTATGGTAAATAGTTAATACACATATTATACATACATGCTTGCCTATATAACAGCCTTTCTGAGTGAAAGCTGACATGCTGATATTCAGAGGTGACACCATCAGTTTTCTTAGACATGTAACAGCATATAGATAAAGGGTGTGTTCTTTTGGAAGTAAACATCCACCCCGTCAAGCTAATGGCTAGAAAGGCCTCAAAAGGAGTAGCAAAACAGATCACTACAACTTGAGCTGAAAGAGAATGGACATGTAGCAAGTAATTATGCATAGAAGTAATGGCATAAGACTAGATAAAGAAACTTCGTAAAAAAACAAGAATGTAGCAGAAAGGTAATAGCATTCATCCAACAACCTTTGGAGACATCTTCTGTCATCCCCATTGAGCAGGAGGTACCATAGTAATCGCAACCATACCAAAAACACTTACAATAATAGAAAAAAGAATTAACATATATAATAATGCTGATCATAAAACAAAATCATACGTTGTTCACAAGGATCAATGAAATCTGTTTGACCTGTTATGGATGGAACTGAATGGTAATAATAATTTAAAGAGTCAGCAGTAAGGTTTCTTTGGCAGAAGAAAATATCAATACTACCATGTTTACATGCATTGAACTAAACAATTAGAAGAGAAAATGAATACTGCAACGAAGTTATATTATAGCTGTATGTTTACCTCGAAGCTAATAAATCCACATAAGGCCTCAAACTCTGTTAGCGCCAAAACCATTTCAGGCTTGTGATTTGCATCTTTATACACATTTGACTTCAACGTATGAAGCAACCCTGCCAACTCCTTATCCGGATGAGCCTGTATTGACAATGCTTGTGCAACTGACAGAACCTGATTCACAAGCATTTATACTAGTGATAAGATAACATAACCATAATACCCAAGTTTAATAATTGACTAGGCTCATTAAATCCAAAAACACAAAACTAAAGCAAAAGCCAATTTGACACAAAGCTTTGTTAACTTCAATAATGGTATACAGATCTATATAGAACATACAAACTTAGTACTCATGTGAAATCATGGTTGATCACTGTTTAAAATGAACGTCCTTGCCAATCAGTGAGCTGCATTTGCCTCAACCTCATCTCTATATCAGGATTACACTGTATCGAGCTCAAAAACTTGATAATCTTCTCAAAAACAAATATCATGGCTTTCCTACACCACATTAGAAAAGCATTGCTATAGTTTCTAATGTTGGCCATCTATCTTTAATGGGCATTGTAGAAGATTGAGATGAGGATTTGAGGATGGATGAGAACATTTTCTTTGTATTCAGATGATGATTGATTAGCATTACAACGGAAGGAAAGGAAACTATAGATGCCTATCAATATTCATAAAAGGTCCCTAAGTATAGACAAATGTGCAAGTTACTAACACCCCCATCAACCTCAATGGTTGATGAGAGACCAAATTGAGTTTGGAAAGGTGGATAGTAAAACGGCCTAGACAATGAGTTTGATGAAGATGCTGGCAGTTTGATCAATAGAAGAGACATATCGAAGACGAACATTATTGCCAACCACATCTTGTTGTACAAAATGACACTCAATCTCAAAATACTTAGTGTGTTCGTGTAAGACATCACTATGAGCAATCTGAATGACACTCTTATTGTCACACCATATTAGTTAGAACGAACTGAAGAATACCCATATCTAAAAGAAGCCATAGAAGCCACACCATCACAACGAGCAACCCAAGAAGCCATAAATTAATTGAAAATATGAACAACAAATGCTGAATCTGGACAAGTGATTATCAAGTAGACTAACAATAGAGTGTAGGATGACGGAGAGAAGAACCATCATCTGCAGTAAGATGAAAATCGGGTTCCAAGGGCGAAGGGTGTAAATGCAATCTTACTGTCAATGAGAACGCAACTTGCTCAGAAGATGAGATCAGAGGCATACTTGCATGACAAAGATAAGTGTCCTTGTCACTAGATAACACTTCAAGCCCAGAAAGTAGTAAAGTAATCTCAAGTCCTTTATTTCAAAGCGGAGGCTTAGAGACTGCTTTAGTTGAACAATTCATGTGTGACATTCCCAGTGATGATCATGTCATCCACATAGAGAAGAAGAAAAAGAACGGTGCCATATCTATAGAAAGAATTTTAAAAAATACATCTTTCCATTTATTTGTGTGACTTCTATTGTTTTTTTCTTTCCTAAGTATGGGAAAAGGTTAGGGTATTGATCTAAGCAGTTAACATAATTCTAAACTATAATCGCAGTCAGGACGTTGATTTGCTATAGCAGTTACCATGGTGGTAAAGTGGTGGGTTTTTCTGAAGTAAATAATATTTATATATGGAAAATGCAATAATTAAACTCACACACCCTTCTCATCTTTGAACCCCTAACCTCCCATGAAAGTCAAAGGCCCGGATACCGCTAGCCCATAGGCCCTTTGGTAAATCGGTGGTTTATAGTGGAAAAAGTAGTGGTTCATTTAATAAATAAAATATTTATACATATGTAATGCATAGCTAATGGTAAATTTTAAAAACACAATTGTTGTAATAAAGTCTCAAAATACTTTAATTTATCTACTTAATTAATATATGTACTTAATATCTGAAGATTTTTATTTTTTATTTTTATTAACTTTGTAATTTACCGTATAATTTGTGAAAATCTAAAGAGTAAAATCACACTCATACCTATCAAGAGTGAGAGAAAAAAAAAACAACTTTTCTCTAGGTGTTTAAAAGAACAAAAGTCATGCGGAGAGGTTATAGAGAAGAAGAAAGTGTTCATCTTCCATTTAGAGAGAAAAAAAGAGTAGGATGGTGATGAAGGAGAGCGATGATAAAGAAAGAAAGAGGATGACATAAGCCTAAAAGTATGATGAAACTGTGAACGAGTAGACGATCAAAGCCTAATAATTGAAATTGACTAAAAACCCCATATTGCAATTGCAAACTTCACACCTCAATTTCAAATAACATAAGCAAAGGAATCACGACTATAGGGTCGTTATTAGTGGTACCATGACATGGAAACCGCTATTCTGATCGATATAATGTTGCAATGCGATTAACTTCCCATGTAAATAAGCTATATGAAAATATTTTCAACTCACATGGTATCACAGCATGCAATGGCTCTAAGCATTGCCTTTATCTTCATCGTCCTTGGTCACCTTCATCTTCATCCTGATTGTCGCCCTCATCGACTTCCTAGTCGCTCATCTTAATCAATCAACATCTACAATATCCTTCGTCTTTAATCTTTATAGTTCCAAATCAATAGACATTGGCATCAAATTCCTCAATTGTTGGATTTCGTTTTCCATAGTTCTCAATCTCCGTGTTCGCGTCTTCATATTGATTCCTAAGCTCGCCAAGTCATGGTCTAAAACTCTAAGCAATGCATCATCCCAAATCAACATCTCTATGGTTGAATACACCCTTCTCAATCGATTTCACATCAATATCTAAACTTTTTGTGACTGTTGAATCTGAACACAAATACTCATTCATGAATTCAGCCACCTCTTACTATGAACACAACTACCCCTCCTAAAATCATCCCGAATCCACCTCTTACAATCATATGCCACAAACTTAATGATCATAATTACCTTCAATGGTCGCAAATAAGTGCTTATCCATATAGAAGAAAGGATGATTATTTAACCGATAGTTGTCACTCCTAAAGAAAGTAATTTTGCATACCAGCAATGGAAGTCTGAAAATCATATAGTCATGTCATGGTTGATCAATTTGAAGAGTCTAAGAATTGGAGAAATTTTCTTCTCTACAAGACTACACAAGAGATAAGAGAAGTAACTTGTGAAACCTATTCTAGTTCAGGAAACACATATACATTATGGAGATTAAACTAAACTATTTTAGCTTAAGCAAGGGGGATCAACTGACCAAGTGTCACTTAATATCACAATATCATTACCGGGCATTGGCCACAACTCGACATGTTTGAGATACATACATGGAAATGTGTTGAGGATGCTAGCCTATAGATTACCATACAAAAAAAGGATATTCATATTCTTTTTAGGCCTCTTCAAGGACCTTGATAGATGGAGGGAAATTATGAGCATCAACCTTCTCCTACTGTTCGAGAAGTATTTTTCGAGGTTAGCAAGGGAAGAAAGCAAAAGCTAATTAATAATGTTAGAACCCACCAATGTCTCTTGAGGATCGACAATGACTAATCACAAGTAGTCCCAAGATCAAAAACCACATAAAAGGAGCCCTTGGTGTGAGCATTGTGGAAAACCTAGGAACTTATGTAAGACATGATGGAATTGCATGGTAAACCCAATCACTTCAAAAATGATCAAGGGCACGCAAACGTTGTCACGACTCTAGAAAACATCACCAAAATGACAGATGGAAATCCCTTTACCAAGGAGCAAATTGCAGCATTGCAAAAGATTTATGGGCAAGCCGCTCTTCCTTCTCTACCTATCCCATCTCATTTGAATCACATGTCGATATGTTGCATCAACATTCAACAAGTTACAATTCCCCATGTTTTTGTTGCACAACTCGATAAAACTGCACCAAGGATAGTAGATGTTGGAGCATTCGACCATACAACAGTTGATTTGCAAGCCTTTGTTCAGTCCTTGTATTCATCCATCAACAGTTAGATTAGTCGATAATTCACTCTCAAAAGTGGTTGGTACATGATATATATAAAGTTATTAGATGACCATCTGTCGTACGTTCTATATGTTCCAAAATTTAGAGTAAACCTAATATATGTAAGCAAGCTTACTCGGGATTTGAATTGTGTAACTCAGTTTTCTCCTAACCTTTTGTACACTTCCAGCAGAAGATTCGAGGAAGGTGATGGTGGCCTCTACATTCTCAAGGAAGGTCTTAAGAACAAGGAAGTATAGCCTCAAGTAATGTTTCTGTTTCCAAGTCTATGTCAAATTTTGTTTATGTTTCTAATATATGGCACTTTTGCTGTTTGATGATGAGAACTCCAAAATTATCAAAATTAGGTGTGTCAACTTGCAAAAAACATGCTTGATATGTTTACCCTGGTATTCCATATAAACCTTCACATTCGTTTGCTATATAACACACAATGATATAAGGGACCTCATTAGTGAAAAATGTTAATGATAACAGTAGAACCACATACACTTTCCTCATGAAAGAAAATCTTGAAACTAAAATTTCAGACTCAATATGCTAAATTGCAGGTGTTTCTCTTAAACCTATCTGTCGATCTTTAGCAATCTTAAGTGCACCCAATACCAATTGACATTTAGAGTGCTTGCAGGTAATCATAACTAAAAAGAAAAAAAAAAAACTACATCAATGATCTCCTGTTCCCTGCTAAATTACATCAAAGAAGAATCTGCTAAAGGAAGATCAACTCCCTATTTATCAACAACAGTATATTAAAACATAAACAGACCATTAAGGAGGAATTGTAATCACCTTAAACATGAAAGGAAGATCAATTCCCCACTTATCAACAACAGTATCGCCTAAAACCTCAGGATTCTTCGAAATCCAGGACTTTAAACTCACGTTCCCGACCCCCTTCTCCTCAGCTATAAACGACGGCCCGGACGCATGAGTTCCCATCCAAAACTCAGCGTAATGTTTGCTTTCCTCAATCTTATCATTACAGTTCCTTAAAAATAGCCTCGCAACCAGTGAATCGAGTCCAATTCGTCCCCAATCGTATTCTTTAACCGAACATTTCAGCCTCACAAGATCCCCATCATGCTTCTCATTAACCTCCATCACCATTATAAGAGGGAGCTATATGGAAAGAGGTATATACACTACCGGTGTGAGAATCCGATAGGGATAGACTACGGCGATGGCCGTCGTGGTGGCAGTGGCTGTGGCGACAGCGTCTCCGAATCTCCGAAGACCACGACGCCTCCAGAAGCACGTTGCAGCGGTTGGTCCATCAACTTTAAGGGGCAGTCCCGTGGAAAACGCAAGAAGTTACTCGAATCACCCTTCAATTTTACCAAATTTCCATAACTACCCCCTCAACTTTAGAGTACCAAAGTGGTTTGGTTATACAATGGGTTCGAAGGATGAATAATCTGGTTTGAATTATCCAAATTATTTTTTCTAATGTTAAATCTTTTTCTTGATGATTTTTAAATTTGAATGACAAAATATTATAGTAAGGGGCTGTTGACTATGCTGACTCGGTTAATAGTCATGTTTATCAAATCATGGATCTGATTGAGATCTGATCGAGATCTTAACGAACGAACGTCAAATTCATGCTTACCCAGGTCAAATTCGATCTTTCCATACTTGCCCCTTTTTTGCGATTAGGTCCCCCCCCCAATAGTCGTTCCTCCCTCATTGCTCCTCCTCCCTTGTCGATCTTGGCTCTCCCCGCTACCGCTCAGTCACTCCTCATCCATCGTCACTCTTAGCCCTCCTCTTTTCTCCCTCGTTGCTTAGTCCTTCCTCACACCGCAGCTCGAAAAGGTATATCTTGTTTAACTGGTCGATTTTTGCTAATTTCATTACATTCGTTGGGTTTCTGTTTTGTGGCTTTATATTATGTGCGATGATGATGGGACTTTCTAGTTTTTCTGGCTTTGTTTACCTTTGGGTTTGTGGGTAGTCATTTGGTCGATAAATTGATGGCTAGAGGGGATGAAGTCATTGTTCTTGATAATTTCTTCACTGGTAGTAAAAGAAATTTGGTGCATCATTTAGAGAACCCAGAGTTTGAGACATGATGTTGTTCGACCCATTTTGTTGGAGGTTGATCAAATCTATCATTTAGCTTGCCATGCTTATCCGGTTCATTACAAGTATAATCCTGTTAAGACCATCATATCCTTTCCTACATCTTTGTATGTTTTCATTCATAATTTGATATTGAAATGTAACATATGATGCATCATCTGCATCCATTTCCATGGGTTCAAGAACAGTTTGAAGTTTCTAATCTCTTAACCATGATCAAATCCATAAACATATGCATAAATCTACAGCTTTATGAACTAATGTTATATCCATTATGCGTTTATTGTGATTCTTTTGTTGTTTTCTTGGTGTTTATTGAATTGGGTATCGCTTAAGATCCTTAAACATGATACACAGAAGACATAACGTTTGACTTTTTAGGTTCAATATAGATATCAAAAACTGTATAGAATTGGGTGTTTTTTGTTTCTGAATTGTCGAATTGGGTTTTCATTCTGTATCTTAACTTCCTTTCAACGGTTGACGCTTTTCAGTTTGGTGAATAGATATCAATTATTCAGCGCTTCACAAACAAAGCACAGAAACATTTCGAAAACTATAAAACACTAAAAAAACTAAAACAAAGTAGAAATCAAGTAATCATAAGGAAAATCTGATCTTCAAAACTCGAAGAAACCCATTCCATATCCAGATTGCATTGAGAATCAGAGTACGAAATAGTCTGCAACTTCTTTTGTGTTAGTCGTAATCAAGAAAACAATTTGCAGGTTCTAGAGAACCCTCCATTAGGGATGAGCAGGAAAATGAAATCCCTGACATCAGTGAAACCAGCTATATCTTTTGACCAGGGGAATAACGTTGATATCCTTCTTGGGATATCGAATATCTCACGAAGAGAATCTTTACCAAGAGGATCAAGTTTATTTGTAGAAATATTAGGGTTTATTTATTAAAAAATGAAACTTGATGGATATAACATATAAATTTTATAGGTATTTTTAAAGACTTACATTGCACCGACAAAAAATATATAATTATTTAGAGAAAGAAAACATGTAATTTATTGTTTAAAATTAAAAAAACGTGTGATTAATTAATTATAGAAATTTGAGACTTTATCAGATATACACCCCCTACAAAATAATTTTTTTTTACGTATATAATATATTTTATATATGATAAATGTAATAAATAAACTCGCATACTATAACATCCAGGTTTCGTTAATTCGTATAAATTGGGTTAAGTAAATTTTTGGTAGAATTATGCATAATATATTTGTACCATATGCTTAACCAACTTGTATCTCAGACCAGTTTTATGTTAAAAATTGAGTTTATACCTAATTTGACGTAAAGTTGATAATATAAACTTGAAGAATTAAAACCGTCAAACGATTAAACTTTATATATATATATATATATATATATATATAAAATTAAAAATAAAAAGAAAATAAAAAAAATATATATATATATATATACACGAGAATGAGGACGGTCATCACCGCCTCATTCTCCTCAATCTCTCGTCTCTTTTTCTCTCTTTAAAATTCTCTCGTCTTCTCTCTAAATTTCACGTCAAGTTATTAAGAGGATCGAAGTAATAATTATATATTCGAAATTCACTCTTCGAACCCTTCTTAAAAGTATAAATTTCATTCAGTTTCATTAAGATGTTTATGTTAGGGTTATTAAGACCGGTTTATAAACTGTGTTTATATCTAAGTTTACGAATTGATATTGTTAAAATTATGATATATTTGATGTTTAGGATACTAATACTGGTTATATTGATGTAAAAATAAAAAAAGGTATATTATAGTTTCAATATGATTAGATTGTGGGTAAATGTTTAACCGTACACCAATTGTTCGGTTAAATGTCGAAATGAGTAAAAATGTATGATTAAGTTTAGGTTAACGACCATTAGATTTGTTTTACAATTTAGTATGTTGAAGTATGTTTATAGTATGTAAATGTAGCAAATCATGAAAGTTGGATCATAAAAGTTAGTCGGAAATTACGGAATCGACTTTTACCGACAAAGCAACTCATGTACTTTGGTAGTGTATAACTCACAAACCGTAAGTCGGAATAAGCTTGTATTTTGCAGACAGAAAGATCTTACTGCATATTACAACTTTTATGAAGAGTCGAAAATCCAGTTATCTAGGTGGCTTGAAACAGTGTGCTTTTGGGGCTGTTTACACTGTATTCGGTATTAATTTGCAGTTTTGTAAAATTCATATAAAATAGATGGATGATCCAAATGAGATTATTTTAAAAGCAATAGACTCGTATAATACCAACCTACAACTTTCATTTAGAAAATATAATCTATATTGGTCTCTAAGTAAGATAAAAATGCTTAGAAATAAGAGGGTCGGAAACGGTTGGATCGAAAGAGAATAAGGTTAACTTTTTACGTTTGAGTTTCAATTCATATCAAGTACATTAAGACCTAAGTAAATTTATTAGAATAATTATGTTACGGTTTTTGTGTTTTGTAAATAGTAACCGGTTATGCATTCGTTAGGCACGCGAGCAAATCAAACTTGATCGTGAATTTCCGTTTGATCGTGCGTTAATTGTCAAATTCGGTTAAGGTACGGATTCCATATCTCACTTGACACGGGGATAGCCATTTGCGTAATGCTTCCTAATCCGGATAATCTGTGATAAATTCCAAATAATTTGTTTTGAATTTCCTTTATGCTTATCAAATGTTATTGAACTTTGTTTCCTTTTGAA